CAGGATCTTCAGAAAATATTGATTTTGATATAACACCATGCTTCTCTAATATTGTACCAATTCCAAAGATCATTTTACCACCAAAAAAAGGAGAAGAATCACAGATAATAACAACATCACATTACAGAAAATCACTATTTGAATCCTCTGAAAAATTAAAAAAGTTAAAAGAACACAAAATAGAAAATAAAAGTGCATTAGGAAAGGGTAAAAAAAAAGTTAAAAGTTTAAGTATTGAAGACTGGGAATGTTATGTTTGTAATGGTTTTATGGAGTAAGGCTGCAAAAGGAGAGAAGTGGAGTCAATGTTCAAAATTCACAACCTGAGCTCATTTGGACTGTTGTTCATTTCAAAATACTGGTCAAGCAATATGTGATTTATGTGACTAGTGACAGTTTGATTATAGCTATAATATATTATAAATGTATTTCTTTCCTCTTAAAGATCTGTTTTGTTTAATTTTATTTATTTAAACTTCTAAAAAAAAAACTGTCTCATTAATGATCAATAAATGATCTAAGGTGACCAAACCACTGCAGTTTTGCAACTCATATTTTGTAAGCTTCAAGTAGGATGGTTGAAGATTTGAAAAATATCAAGTTATTTTTTTAAAAGTTGTTAGACGGGCCGCATTAGATAAATTAGTGCTTAAGTGTCTCATTTTGCCCCTCGTTACGCTATATCATGTATGTGTGTGTGTGTGTGTATATATATATATATATATATATATATATATATATATATATATATATATATATATATATATATATATATATATATATATATATATATATATATATATATATATATATATAATGTAAAGTAGTGTAAAGATTTATTTTAATCACTTCGTAAATTAACCGCCAAACTGTTTATAATAAAGTATAGATAACTTTTACACGGAATTTATGTCGTTTATTTTTAGCTAAATTTCAATATGCTTTTATATGTACATATAATATAAACATACAGCGATATCACAAATTATCTATTCAACAATGCTTAAAACATTTACTAAATGCGTTACTTACTAATTAACAATAATTTGTTATATACTATTTTATAAGTTCAATTTGGTACTTAGAATTAAAAAATGTTTACATTGTTATTAAAACTCAAATGAAAAAATTTCATTAAAAACGATTTTTTCAGTTTTTTTTAATGTTTACGTTTTCAGAACAATTCATGGCTTTTACCATTTCGAATGGGGTGATATCATTACAGTCACGTGACAACCTCGACCTAATTCATAGTAACCTTACCTTCGATAAAAGCAAATAAAGTTTAATAAACAAAAAATAAAATAAAAGTTGATAAAAGATAGTTATTATAACTAATCAGATCTAAATATTAACATAATATAAACATGTAAGAATCCCATAATAACTTAAACAATGCTACAAGTGTCGTAACTTGAAATGCAAAAAATAAATGTTATAATTTCGTTATTCAACATTTGTGCCAGAATTATATAAAAAATATTAATTCATGTTTAAGATTAAAAATGATTTTTATTATAAATAACTATTTTGCTAAACACTACTATTATTTTGTTCAAAACTGTACACACACACACACGCATACATACATACATACATACATACATACATACATACATACATACATACATACATACATACATACATACATACATACATACATACATACATACATACATACATACATACATAATATAAAAATGCAAATATATATTATGCAAATAAAAAAATCAAACCACCTCATTTTTTTTAATTTAATATCCATTGACATCTAACTAAATGGAACATAAACATAGAATAGATTTCTAGAAACTTGCAGATGGGGGACCACAGCTCCATAAGCCCCAGTCCAGGGTGGATCCTGTACTTTTGATCTTTAAGAAAATATTTTAGTGGTCAAAAAGTATGAACATATAAAATTTAAACCCCATCAATTTGAGATGATTATAAATTTTTTATGGTCATAATTTGTAAAAGCAGAGAGATTATACTATGAAGTTTACAACTTATCAATGAATATAAGTCTAGTTGAGAATAGTACACAAAATTTTTTATCAACTAGTTGCTCTCACGTTTGGGGTAGGCAAGGAGGAGAGGGGAAAATTTTGGGACATTTTTTGATCCCAGACTACAACCATCGCAATTTTTTGCAGAGCACCCTTATTAACGTAAGTATAAACATATAATATTTTGCTCCATTTCTGGAAATTAGCTATCTCTAACACCAAAAATTGCTGGATCTGCCTGAGCTTAACATAATTAAAACATTTAGCATTAGACATTTAAGCAACACTGTTGAAACGTATGTAACTGTATACCAAGATGATATAGATGTAAATAAAACTTAAAAACTATATTAACTGCTAAACATTATTACTCAACATCATTATTTTTAATGACTATTGCCTGTAACCACCATCACATGTAAAGGATACACCTATTGCATCTACACATGTGAATAAAGATTATACTATTATCTAATATTAAAGTACAATTTTAATTTCATTACTTATTTTCACTGAGTTGCATTTATAGAAAATTGCATTTTAACTGTGTAGTGAGACAGTCTAATAGTTTTAAAATATTACAAATTAACATTAAAATCTATTTGTAATGAATGATTTCTAAAGAAATAAGTAATGAAAATAAATTTTTAATAAACATCCACAGTTTCAAAACATGAAATTTAAACAAAAATCTTAAAAATTCATATTAAATAATTTTAAATATTTAACATTTACAATTATAGTCATTAAAGTGTATATACGAAACATGAAATCACACAGAATAATAAAATAAACAGATGGATTCATGGATATTAGCTTGTGAATAAAATATTTGTTAATTTAGGGAATAACTATCTAGGGATTTTTTTATTGTTAATGATGGGTATAGTTAATAATGGATATAGTGGACATGAAATGATGGACATAGTGTAATGACGGATATAGTGTAATTTTGGATGTAGAACTCATTATGACATATTTGATATAAAATTAAAAAAATAAAATTGAATAAATATTGAATTTTTTACTTTGTTTTTTTAATTTATACCTTTTTTTAAGACAATGTATATATATATATATATATATATATATATATATATATATATATATATATATATATATATATATATATATATACATATATACATATATATATATATATATTTATACATATATATATATATATATATATATACAAATAGTATTGCGTACTAAGGTAAGCAATCTTACGTCATACTGAAATAGCCTGCTGCTGGCGGCTTCAGTACATACATCGACTGACAAATAGCTTGACACGCAGTGGAGTGCTGCTACATCTACTGAGGGTTTGGGATGGGGAAGCAATCGTTTCATTCATCATTCTTCATTTTTTCTTCTTTTTCGAAAAAAACAATATAGCTTAAGGTAAGCAGAAAAAGTGAGGAAATGCTTATCAAAACACGCTTTAGTAAGTGTGTATATATATATACAAGTATATATATATATATATATATATATATATATATATATATATATATATATATATATATATATATATATATATATATATATATATATATATATATATATATATATATATATATATATATATAAAGACAAAATGGTAAAATTTGGTAAAGAATAGGTAAAGTGGTAAAGAATAGTAAAATTAATATTAAAATAAAATATAAAACTTAACAAATTAACAGAATGTTTGTTATTATACGCAAACCAAGTAATATAATGTGAACAATGTAAATAAAATATTAAAATCCTACACTAAAGTTAAAAACTAATAGTTAACAAAAACAAAACATTCCTGACAAGTAAAAATTTTACATTTAAAAGACATGGCCAGATCCAGCTTTTTCAGTGTTTGAGATATGTATGCCAACTTTCATACAAATAGGAAACTTATAAGAATTATAAACACTTATATATTTTTACTAATGTCAAATAAAAATGCTTTGCAAAAAATTGTGACAATTGGAGCTTGGGAACAAAAACCATAAAATTTGTGATGCCCTTGCCCCAAACTGTAGGAGCAATAAGTTCATAAAATACTTTTTATACTAATCTTAACTAAATTAATATTCATCAATAAACTTTAAATTTCATAAAATAATCTCTTACATTAAAAAAAAAAAAAAAATTAAAAAAAAAAACCCCTCAGATTGAGAGGGATTCAAACTTTAGATAACCATAATTTTTGACAGCTAAAAGATTATTGCACAAAATTTAAAATTCATCAATGAGTATTAATATAGTTAAGAATAGTAGAAAAAATATTTTATCACTATACTAACTTATACTAATTTTTATTGTTGCTGTTTTTAATGTTGTTGTTGTTTTCAAAAAAATTGTTGTATAGGCATTAATGACATTCAAACATATGCAATATTTACAACTTTTTTTAACAATAACCATAAATGATAACTTCTTTTTGTAAATTTAAACTTTGAAATGGGTTTGTTTAAAGATATGATTACATTTTATTTTCTCAATACGTGCTGAAGAACTAATCTTTGCATTTTAACAATAATATTTATGATCTTGTTTTCAATTTAAATTCAATGATTTTCTTATTTTTGTCACATTTTTTTAACAGTCATTTTTAATGATTAAGTTGTAATTTTTTATAGTTTATTCTGTCTATTTTTCACATATATAATATGATACAACTTTTAAATTGTTAAAATGAACTTTTAATCAATTTCAAATAAAACAAAAACAAAACAAAAAACAAAACAAAATCAAAAAAAAAAAACAAGGCTACAGAACATGTTTTTTAATGTCATTAATTGGAACTCTTTCAGAGATCCAGGTTATATTACCTGGATCTATTAGCATTATAATGGCATTATTAATACTTAGATCCAGTTAAGAGGCTTTTAAAAACCTCTGTATATGCTGGCTCAGCATCATTTAAACTATATGTATTTTTACGCTACAACAATAAGATTTTTGACAGGTTGATTTTTCATCACCATGTAAGTAATAAAGATTATCTTTTACCTGCATTTTTTTCTTCTGATTTCAAAAAATTAAGACTATTTTTAAGATAATTAAACAGTCACTACTTTGAAGGGGGTTGTCCATAATTTACGTCACGCAGTTTTGACATTTTTTGAGGGGCGGGGGAGGTAGAATTTTAATAAACAGGAGGAGGGGGTAACCTTAGAAAATAACCTTAAGTTAGTTGTGCAACAGTTGTGCGTTTTTGTTGTACAACAATTGTTGCCAAAATAGGTTTAATTTTATCTCCGCAACCTTTGTTTTACAACATAAATTTTGTTGTACAACCGACGTTAAGTTGTGCAACTTACGCAAGAAAATGTTTCCATTGTAAAGCATTATTGTAGTACAACTGTTGTTGTACACGACATTTCTACAACTATTGGAAACCAAGCTTTAGTAAAAATGTGGTGATTAAAACAATTTAATTTTAAATCACGGCGATCTATACTAGTATATATCGCCGTGAATTAAAATTAAATTGTTTTAATGGCCACAATTTTACTAAAGCTTGGTTTCCAATAGTTGTAGAAATGTCGTACGACAGTATACTGCCGTATAGATCACCGCAGTATACTGCGGTATAGATCAAATAAAAAAAACAATTTCATTTTAGAGTGGCTTATATATATATATATATATATATATATATATATATATATATATATATATATATATATATATATATATATATATATATATATATATATATATATATATATATATATATATATATATATATATATATATATATATATATATATATATATATATATATATATATATATATATATATATATATACCACGTATCATCTACAGATTACAACCTGTAATATTTCTTCAACGGCACTTCAACTTACACTTATTAAACATGTCTAGCACACTTGTTGAAATTAAAAAAATAATAACGGAAATGTTTATGAAGTTTAAGATCGAGATGGAAGAAATACTAAAGCAACAAGAAAATATTTTTTCAGCATAATTAGTTTAAACACTGTTGCACAATAGGGTTGTCCAGAATAGAGTATGAAGGGTCAAAACGTCGTGAAGTGAAGTTTTTCTTATTATTCAATCAATACTATGTCTAAAAATAGTTTTTACAGACTTTTGATAAGTGATCCTGAGCAGGGGTGGATCCAGGTCATCTCGTAAGGAAGGGGGGTGATTTAATTTATGCATGCCAAGCCGGTAGCGAGGCTCTGCTAGCGGGTTTGGGGGTCGGGGGTCGGCAGGGCCCCAATAAGTTAAGGGGTTTGCCGTCCCCCCACACTAATTTTATTTTAGTTTGTACTAACAAAGAAGAAAATCTAGGTATGTTTTACATCATGTATCCATGTAATGGTATAAAGTTATTGTGATCAGGTGCAATATCCAATCAGTCAAATTGTTCCAAATTATTAAAACATGTCTTGCTAGTGTTGACAATGCTAAACGTAGTTTCTCAACTGTGCGAAGAATTAAAACATGGCTGAGAAAACGAATGACGGAAGACAGACTAGTCGAATTAGCACTGCTTAATGAGAAATTCTAGTAAATCCTGAAAGCGTAATTGAACGTTTTGCTAAATCGGGAAATCGTAAACTAGATTTTTGGATATAAATTGTTTTATATTTACTAAAACAATACAACTCTAGTCTAACATGCTAAACTCTGCAGCATTTAAATAAATGGTATATCAATAACTTTTAATTATAATTTTTAATAAAGAGCTGAAAAAAATTACTATTGTAGGGGGGGGGGGGGGCAATCGCCCCTATAGCCCCCCCCCCCCCCATCCTATGGATCCGCCACAAATCCTGAGCTCCCTCCAGGCCTCTGAACATGTTCCTCATTTTTTTGCATAAATTGAATTTTTTTTTTTTAAAATTTTAGAATTGCAATTATTAAAGAATCATTTCTTCAGAGTTTTGATTGGTTTTCAGCGGCTTTTAGTTGTATTATTCGAGTTTTGTTTAGTGAAAGAATAAATTTAACTTTATCAATGAATATACTGGAAAAAGGTTAGCTCGAAGTAGTAAAAAGCGCAACCCATCACCACGGAGAAGTACTAAATATAAAAAGTCTGAAGAACAAAAAGAGAACCCTCTTCGTCAAGGTACTTTTAGCACACTTAAAGGAATTCCAAGCAGACTTGTGACAAGAAAGTTAACTGATTTCTGGTTAATTGGTTATCCTTCAACATCAATTAATGGGGCAAAACTGCCTGATTGTAGGCAAATTATATAATATGTCTGATTTCAAAGGAATGATCCAGAAAATTTTAAAAATAAAGTGAAGAATGAGGATATTTCTTATGTTGTGGTTGATGCAGTCCTTATATGATATGATAAAGCTATGATAAAGCTCATTGATAATCCTGCAAATATTATATTTAGCCTTTATTGTTCCTATTCCAAGTGAAGGTTTTTTAAATAAAATGGAAACAAAGATTGATAACTTTTTGGGGGGTAAAATATGCAGACTAAACAAAATAAAAACGCAGCAAAAAATAAAATACGGTGGCGCAGGTTTAAATAACCTAATGAATAAACTTAAAGCAGTTGCAATGGTAAAATTCATGATTAAGTAAAATAAAGTATAATTTAAAATTACAATTTATTTATATAATCAAATTTTTCAAAAATTTTTAAAATCTATAATTATAATAAAAATTTTATAATTAAAAGTATAAAATCTTAAATCAAGGTCAAAAATATGATCATAAAAAAACCCCTCAATATATAGCCAAAAGAAAATCGAAGTTCTAACTTTATATAAATTATCAAACAAACTAATTAAAAAAATTGAATATAAATATAATAATTGGGAGACTTTATTTAAATGTATGGAAAGTATAAATGAAAAAGATTGGAAATTTTTTTTTCCTTAATCTTTCTAAAAGAATACTAACAACAAAGCGAACGAAATCCGGCACATTTTATATTGCCCACAAATGATAAGATGTTTGATATAAAAGTTAGAACAGATTAATTATGTCCTAAATGCAGAGCAATAGTTGAAAGTACTACTCACATGATATATAAATGTGAGAAAAAGCATCATTAAATTTTTTATGATTTAGATATGTTAGACCAGCTTTACCCTATGGAATACCCTCTCAATAATAATTTTGAATTTATCTTAATTGTTTACGGGAAAAACGCATGCCAGAGAAAATTTGGCAATTTTTTTAATAAAAACATTATTAGTAGAAATTTTTTACAATGGAATGAAAAGTCATTTTGAAAATAAAATGTTTACGAAAAAACATACTTTAAAAAAGTTTAACGTAAAAATTGAAAAATTATTTGAAAATAAGTTACAAATAATAATTAAACAAAATAAACAAGAAAAACACAAGGAAGAAATAAGAAATATTTTTTGCTATGAAAAATTAAATTTAGTTGCAGATATATGCAACTATTATGAATAATTTTTTTGAAATTTTGATAAGTTCTTTTTATTTTAACTACTATTTTTATATACTTTTATCTTTTTATCTTTATATACTTTTATATTTGCCTTTGTTTCATATATTTTTAATGATATTTAATGTAAAACTTTTTTAAAACAAAGTTAATTGTAATTTGATATAAAATTCTAAATACTAGATAATCAAAGGATACTTAAAAAATTTTTTTTTAATAAAGAAACAAAACAAGACAACAAAATTAAATATATTTTCAGTAGAGGTTTAACTTTGATAGAAAAAGCATGTGACTATTCTGTTTCTGAGTTTTAATTTTTTTTCCTTTGAAAACCGTTTATATTTTTATTTGGATTTTAATTTTTTGTGATTTTATGTTTATTTTTTATTGATTTTTTTTTTAATGGGGTCTGTAAGACATCTCTGTAACGCCGGTATATTTTTACGGATAATTTGTAAATTTATTTTTTACAAGGATTTTATGGCAAATAGCCGGATGACCAAATAAATCACAATGCAAAGTAAATAACATAAAAGTAATATGCTACCAAATGTAAATTAAATTTATTAATAAAATAAAGAGGAATTTTTTATTTTATAAAGTAATCTTTGTAACAAATCTTTATTAAAAAATAAATTATATAAAATTTAAATTACATAAGCTTGCATTTTTTATAATCTGTTAAGTAAGTTAAAGCTAAATTATGTAAAATAAGTAAATAAATTTACTTATATATTACAATAACTTTGACATGATCTTCAACAAAAGTAATGCAAAAAATTAAAAATTTAAGTCACTTACATTTAGTTTGCCGCAACATTTGATTTGCGCAGTTTTTTTTTTTTTTTTTTTTTTTACATTTTAAGTTTACGTTTGTCGTAATACAATACTTTAACAAATACAAACAAGGTTTCTGAATGAAGATCGTACTGATCTTATCATCAGAACCTTTTACAAGCATTTAGCATACCATACTGGTTAAACTTTGTTCGACAAAAAGGTTTATGCAAAAATTTATTATTTTTAAGAGTGTATTTATTTATTGGTTTTTCACAAAAGAGAACTTTAAAAATAGGTAGGTATAAGTCATTTTTCCACTACTACATAAAGCATAAAACATTAAACACAATAAGCTCGTAAATATTAAGAACTTTCATTTCAATAAAAAAAGGTTTGGAATGAGTGCATCGATCCGCAAAATTAATTAAACGGATCGCATGCTTCTGACGGCGGTTAAGACATTGCAACTTGCTTTTTTCTGTGCTTCCCCAAGCAATATTTGCATAATTTAAATACCCAAGTAGCCAACAATATTGGTGTAATATTTGCACGAAATTGGGTATCTTGGCTAATCTTGGCCAAGATATCCGATATTGCGCCAATATTGTCAAGCAATATTACGCCAATATTGTCTTACCAATATTGGCAAACAATATTGCGCTAATATTATCAATTATCGTTTTACTGATATTGTTATGCCAATATTGGCGAAATATTGCGCCAATGTTATCCTATTATCGATTTACTGATATTGTTGGCAAAATATTGTTTGCCAATATTGGCTTTGTATTGAAGTTTACATATTGGTACGCATGCGTACATTAAGGAATATTCATGATGTCCTTTAGTTTTGTTAAATGTGTTTAAATGTAAATAGTAGCATCTTTTTACATAAACTTTATGTAAAAAGATGCTATTATTTACATTTAAACACATTTAACAAAACTAATTACG